TTTCCCGTGAGAGGACAGAGGGACTAAATGCATTCCAAGATAATTTTCTCAGTGTAAGATTATGGCAAAGAAAAAAAAAAGAATAGTTGACCTGCTCTTTATTCAAAATAGACATGTTTTGAAAATTATGGAATTTTTTGTTTTTTGAGACAGGGTCTCTGTTGCCTGGGCTGGCTGCAGTGCTGTGGCGTCATCATAGCTCACTGCAGCCTTGAACTCCTGGGCTCAAGCGACCTTCCTGCCTCAGTCTCCCAAGTAGCTGGGATTACAGGTATGCACCACCAGGTCTGGGATTACAGGTATGCACCCCCTTGTTTGTATGTCATCTTTGGAGAAATGTCTGTTGAAGTGTGTATGAGTCAATGTTCTTCAGAGAAACAAAATAGAATGTGTGTGTGCATATATACTTATTAGTATACACGGCACACATATGCACACACATACACACACATGTAGAGGGGAGAGAAAGAGAAAGAGAGAGATTGATCTTAAGGAATTGGTTCATGCCATTGTGGGCGCTGGCAAGTCCAAAATCTGCAGGCTGGAGCCAGGGAAGAAGTGATCTTGTCTACTGGCAGTTTTCCCTCCTCCTCTAGGCGAGGTCAGTTTTTTTCTTGAGGCTTTCAACTGATTGGAAAGGCCCACCCACATTGTGGAGGATAATCTGATTTACTCAAAGTGTACCGGTTTAAATGCTGATCTCATCTTAAAAAATACCTTCACAATAACATCCAGATGTGTTTGACCAAATATAGGTCAAATGATCATGGCATGGCCAAGTTGACACATGGGATTAACCATCACAAAGTCCTTTGCCCATTTTTAAATCAGGTTGTTTGCTTTTTTGTCATTGGGATGTACGAGTTCTTTGTACATCCTGGATATTAACCCCTTATGAGATATATGATCTGCACGTATTTTCGCCCATTCTGTAGGTTGCCTTTTCATTTTGTTGATTGTTTCCTTTGATGCACAAAAGTTTTTAATTCTGATGTAGTCCATATCTCCACTTTCTTTCCTACTTTTGAACATAATTAGTCACTGTGCCCTGGGCCAGTGTTGGTAGGTCGGCCATGGAAAATGTAGAGAGAAAGCAAAAGCCACCCTTTGGCTTACCTCATGGAACGGTATCTCCAAAGTTTGGAGACGAAGGTCCACCTTGTGGTAGGTATCCAGGCAGGGCAAAAAGAAGACAAGACCTAGAAGAAGCGGAAGGGGGAGTGACAGGTGAATACCCAGCATGGAGATGTTTGGGGTTCACTTTTTCAGGGTCACGTTCATGCTGTGTTGCTGTTTTTGGCTTCCAACTACACACAGACCACTGGGCAATCCCACCTCCACCCCATGCTGTCTTTGTTGTATCTAAGGTTACCATATAATTTGTTGCTCAATCTGAGACACTTTTGAGGGTGAAAGGAGAACACTATTACAACCTGCTCCAGGACAACAAGTGTAAAGAGGGATTATCCCCAGCAGACTGGGCTGTGTGGTCACTTTAGTCATCGTGCCGGGCCCTCCAGATCTCAGTTACGTGTCTGTCCCTTCACTAGGCGCTCCCTAAGTAGAATGTCCTATGCATTGTTGTTAGCCTTAGTGTATGACTTAGTGCCTGTTAGGTGCTCTTTAAAATTGTTTTTGAATCCATGAGTATACCCAGGTGTCAAATTTTAGAGCCAGCAACTTCTGTGTGGTATTTCTTAAAATGTGAACTCCTGTTTGTGACTAGCCTGGGCAACATAGGAGACCCCCACCTCTACACAAAATGAGAAAAAATTAGCTGGGCATGGTGGCGCGTGCCTGTAGTCCCAGCTACTCAGGAGGCCGAGGCAGGAGGATCACCTGAGCCCAGGAGTTTGAGGCTGCAATGAGCTATGACCAGACCAATGCACTCCAGCCTGGGTGACAGAGTGAGACCCCATCTCTTAAAAAAAAAAAGTGAATTCCAGAATTAATTAGAATAGCATGTCATGATACCAGCCTTCTCATTGGCTAGTTAGTCCTCACCCAGCCAATGTAATGTACAGGGTCAATGTGTAATACACATCTGTAGATTAATTTATAGAGATTTTCTGAGAGCCCATTGGTTGCTGTGGGCTCCTGCAGGAGTCAAAGCTTTGTTGGAAGAAACAGAACCTCACAGAGCACAGGATCCATCGGGGGAGCAGCCCAGCTACTAGCCTTTCTCAGCCCCAATCAAGAAGGTTCCCCAAAACCAGGGACAGAACAAGACATCCATGTCTTGGAACTACAGGGTCTGGTTCCACTTTTGTATGGACCCATCTATTGGTTCTAAATATTCAAACTCTGATTTATGTCTCTTAGTCTAGTCTCTATTCTCTACCTGGTTTTGTAGGCCTGGCTTGGAACTCAGACCCGCTCCAATACGTGTGCAATGGAACTTTGTTCCTTCTCATGCCTTCCTGGCTGGCTTCGATCTCCAAACTGCAACTACTAGACTTTTCAGAGTAACCATACTACTGTCTGTGCCCCATTAACAGCTTGGACTTCTGGACAGCAACTCCACTAGGTTTTAAGGTCTTGGGGATCGGAGACCGTGTCTTATTCATCCATATTCGTATCCCTGATAGTACGGTGTCTGAAACACAGAAGTGCTCAGTCTGTGTTTCTTAAATCCCACCAACTAAAGACCAATTTGTTACTGAGATGGTGAACTTTTCCTGTCTCCCATGATTTGATGTGACCCCCAGGTTTTGAAGTAGCTCAGCTTTTCTCTGAGAATTCACAGGACTCTGGCCACACACACATTGTATTCAAATCAGTCCCGGCCACGGGTCCTAAACCGCCTTGCTGTTTCAGCCAGCCTGGCCCTAGCACGTGGCTCTCCTTCTTTCTCTTGGCACCTGTGACCTGATAGTGATGCTCTCTGAACAATTTCTTCATAACCTGTCTTACAGGTGACAGATTGGAAGATACAGATGTCACGAATCAAGTCACTTCGTGTAATTTGAGGTCCACATCACAAACATGCATGGATTGCAGAAACTGGCAAGCCAGGAGGTGGCATGTGAAAACAAAGAAGGGGTGTTTCTTACCAGGGCCTTTGGCTCTCCCAGGAAGCATATGTCCCAGTCGGAATATAATTACTCTTTCATACTCCTGTACAACCTGAAGAGAAATTTAATACTTTCAGATTACTCCAAGAAAGAAAAACAAAGTCTTCAAAAGGCCTTGGCACAAGAGTGATCCTAGGTATCAGAAATCTTTTGTTTTGATAACCAAGAAAAAATTACTATTAATACTTAAAGTTCTAAAATCTACATTTAGTAAGAGTACAATTTCAGAAACCAATGAAAAAGTATATTGGCCA